CTTGCGCCTCCAGGGGGCAGTCTGTTGCAGCATATCTGCTATTAACGGAAAAAAGCCTTCAATAAAAAAAGAAAATGCACACACTCAGATGCTTAATGTAAACAACGGAACACATTTTGCAGCCCTCCTGCAATGTATTGTTGCTAAGAGTGTAAAATGATAATATTTTTAAGAGCTGGAAATCTTGAAAACAAACAAAAAAAAAAAGAAGAAAAAAAAAGAAAAAAGATGAATTCTAGCAAAGCCTTTGGCGTTCACCTTTGATTTGTTTATCCCTGTATCCTTTTTTAAAACAGCTTAAAAACAACACCTTCTCAATGGTTAAATAAAAAAAAAACATTCTGTATTCTCTTTACTTGCATGTAAGCAGTTTTTACTGTTAACACCAACTACAACAAACACATTACCGTTCCACCTGAACAGATTTGCAGAGACAAAGTAGTAATTAAAAGACATTTGCAGGAAGTAGCTGGCGATCCATACGTCCTCTCTGAACCTAACTACCAGAAAAATCCATACTCTCTCTGTGTACCAACAGCCACGGATTCAAAAGTGTGTCGTCTTTGACTAAAAGTGCAATAAAGTGACGAATCTCTGGATCAGCACACTGCTGTTCTCCGCTGTCCAAATCCTCAGACACATTTTTAACTTCATCTGCAATCAAAGAAGTCCAGATTGCAATTTGCGCGACAATATGTTTTGCTCCACTTTATTAGGCCCCCAGATAAACCCGATGGCTGGAACAGAGGCCTCTGAGTAATGAAGGCTCCCTCACCATAACAAGATCCTGCCGCCCTGCTCTTGCATCCTCTTCTCAATTTGTTGCGTGGATGAGCTTAGCTGGTCATTTTCTGCTGGAGAACTAATGTGTGTGTGTGTAAGGGAGGGAGTTAGCGAGAGAGAGTGCAAGCGAGAGAGAGAGCAAAAGCAGGGACAAAATCATTTTTCTACACATTACAGCCACGCAGGCAGTTCAAATGAAAACAACGTCAATATGTTCAAATACCTTTTTTTTTAGAAGAAAATCAATTCTGAGTAATTATTTAATGTCAATAATTATAGTGTGTAATTATAGTGTATTATAGTGTGTGTAACACACACACACTGTTGGGGGTCTGTGACCCTATACACAACGTTGATGCATTTTAAAATCCCCTCGTAATACTTATTAATCGAAGTGCATCAATATTTTTTAATATGGAATGCAGAGAAAAGAAACTGCAGGTAGCCTCGAGGTTGAAGTTGAAGAACCACAGACACATGCTGGGGGGAAATTTACACATTTTGCCACAGGAGGTGCCATTGAGCACGTAGTTTCAACTCAGAGGCTGCCACATGAGAGGCGCCATTAGGGATACGTGGGAATTGGGATTCCTCTGGGAATTTAACCCACGATTAATTGTCCTGCTCTGTCTTTGCAAGGTAGGCGTGCTAACTGCTAACATTACTGAACCAATAGACAGACAGACAGATAGAACTATAGTCCTGGGCTGGAAACCTTCATCCATGTTGTCACCATTCCAATCCTACATTTTCAACTTCAATCCAATTGTTTTCTCTGGAATATTAGGGTCTATGTGGTTTCTCAGTCATTCTGGTCATTTTATCCAAAGTTCTACATCCTATAGGGAACTGGTTTCTAGAATGTGTTCCATCCCTCATCCTAGGAGACTTCTTCGTTTTTTTAACTGACTGATGAAAAGTGTGACCCTGTGAGTCACATGGGAGGCTGATGTCACCTGATGGACACAGCTGGCTGTCTGCCCCATGGAGTCTGTCTTTGTTGTTTGCTGTATGAAAGAGCACTTAGGACAGAATAGTCGGTCGATGATGGATGGCCCACGATGGTGGTTCATGATGATCCACTTCCTCTAACTACCTACAGCACACGTGTCAAACTCAGGCCCTGCGACAGAATTTGGCCCGCAGTGTAAATGTATTTGGCCCGCGAGGTCATATCAAATGTGTACTTGAGTTGGCCCTCCAGTACATAGCCCCTATATACTGGCAGGATTTGTAGTATTAGTGGTGAATGTGCAAACTAATTAGCACTGATGTGTTTTCTTTCAAATTTAATTTCTCATGACTTTATAATGTTAAGCTTTGGTTGTTCCAGATTCAATGTTTACGCAAAACTAAGGGTTGTTTCCATATGAAAAATAATCTACATTACAGATCTGGAGAGAAGGGAAAACATGAACAATTTGAGTCAATTATTCAATAAATATTAAGTTTGGACCGTGACTTCTTCCCAGTTTTGAATTTTGGCCCACTGTGAATTTGAATTTGGCACCCCTGATTTACAGTTTATATCCAATACTAATGATCTTCCTCCTCCTGTACTGTCTGCTACTCTACATATTCCAGAGTTGTGTGTCTATTCCCTTTCTCTCCTTCGTTCCCCCACTCTTTTCTTCTCCCTCTGCCGTCTCCCCAGTTCTCCCCTGTCCCTCTG